CAGGACCTCTGCTCAGAATTATTCCAATATGCAAAGAAGCTGGAAGAAAAACACTCAAACAAAAATTTGAAAAGGAGTGGCCTGCACTATCCCAGATTTTAGTGTCAGTCTTAAACAATTTGCAGTACCAAATGGACAACAGCTTAGTCCAGTCTTTCTGGACTTCTACACTCCCAGTTTACTGATTCATATGCTTTTTCCCCCTTCGTTTTCTAAGCTTCCATTTTTCCTTCGTTTCTCCTTGGTCTTTTACTTATTCCTTTTGTAAACCTTTTCCACCTCATGTATTTTAATGGCAATGCTGTTCTGAATGATGAGAGTTGTAATCTAATGTGCTGCCTAGAGTCACTTGTATAGTGAGATGGGCGTCATATATAAATTTGAAAAATAAATAAATAATGTATCTGGAAGGTATCAGATTCAGGAAGGCTGACGGACACCTTTGTCCCTTTAAAAAAAGGAATATAAAGACCACCACAACAAAAAAGCACTACAAGTTGTATTAGAGTAACAGAATCAGTAACAAGAAGGCTAAATGCATCAGAGGAAACTAACTCCAAAGGTTCACCTAAATAAAAGATTCAAGAGCCAGTCATAGATCAAGCAGAAAGGAGGTCTCGAAAAACTTCATGGGGGGTTATTCTACCTGTCTAGTTGCTGCAATTTAAAAGTCCCTTCCTCCTACCCAAACCTCACTTGGCAGGTGAAAGGGCATGGAAGAAGCTGAGTTCCTGCAAGTCAGCAGTTGATGAATAAGGATGTATAATCCATAGAGGGGACAGGTATGTTCAATTTCTTAAAACTTTGTGTGTTTTTTAAATTACGCTTTTAGCTCATATTGGCCACATATTCACTTGAAAAAAATTTAAACAATATCTGCTGAAATCTGAGAAGTTAAAAGAAAAGTTAAGGAAGATTTCCAGTGGCTTGGGAAAAGTTACCACTATGTTCAAATGATCTTGCCCTTCCTCCTGACAGTTAAAATACATTAAGCAAAAAAACACAAATTCCAGGAATATGTGCAAAAAGAAATGACCGAGATATATACAAGTCACTTAATGTATTTCTACAGTGACTTTTCTCAGTGAAAATGTAATTACTTGGCCTTCGAATTTCTTTATGCACTTCAGTGCAAGGAGCCCCTGTCATCCATTCCCATAAGGTTTGGCCATTCTCTTCAGTTCGCTCATAGCCACAGAGTATAGTTTTCGGATGGGATGGGCTACCAATAATCTCTGGTTTACATCTTGCATTCCTTATCTGTGGGTCCCTCAGTGTGAAAAGGCACTAATCTCAAATAGGCTTACGCAGTCTTGCCATTTCTCTTTTTGCAGGTTATCCATTCCAACAAGGTTACAAAACTCTAACATATTTGCAGTTATAAATAGTCCCCGGGTTAAGAACACCAGGTGAAGGACAACCCATAGTTAAGAACAGAGCCTACTGTAGCAAAATCCGAGTTAAATACACAGTGATTTGAGTTAAATACACAG